AGGGCCTAGCAGCACAGGCCTGTAACCCCACCTTCTTCAGAGAGTGAAACAGGGGGCCCCAAATTCAAGGCCAGTCTGGGTCACAGATTGAGTTCAAGGCCAGTTTGAGCAACTCACTGAGAGCCTGTCTTAAAAAACCAACTAACCAACAAACAACCTCCACCCACCAAACAAAAACAAACAAAAAACTGCACGAGAGGGCTAGGGAGATGTGTCTTAGTGGTAGAGCACCTGCCTAGGACGTGTGAGGCCTCCCCATTCAACCTGCAGGGAAGAGGATGGGGAAAGGGGCAGAAAGGTTGTGTGGTGTGGGATGAGGGTGAAATCCATGTGCACCAGGAATTTTGAAGCTCAAGGCTCGAGGATTCGGGACTGAGCGGAGAGAATTGGGGGGCAATTCGGGAGGGACTTTTGAAGACTTTGATCTTGGTCAGCACAGGGGAGCTGAATTTAGCACAACAGGGTGAGCCTGAGCTAGTCCTTGCCATCGCCTAGGAGGATCAGAGAATGCAAAGCCTCACTAGGAACCATGAGATCTTTTTTTTTGTTTTGTTTTGTTTTTTGTTTTTTGTTTTTCGAGACAGGGCTTCTCTGTATTGTTTTGGACTCTGTCCTGGAACTCCCTTGGTAGACCAGGCTGGTCTCGAACTCACAGAGATCCACCTGCCTTTGCCTCCCAAGTGCTGGGATTAAAGGCATGTGCCACCAATGCCCGGCTGAACCATGAGATCTTATGCCCTCCTTTTAGAAGCAGTACAATGGGCCCAGAGAGGATGAGCAATACTTTCGGGGGACACACAGCTTAGGACCCATTCAAAACCATCAGCTATCCTGTCTCTTATGGGCCTCTCTGTGGCAAGCCTCATACAGTGTAGGGTAGGAAGCTGCCAATGGAACAACCCTGTAGCTACCTGGGGGTGGGGGTGGGGATGGGAAGTGCATGAGGACTCGGAAGACACCGGTTTGAAGGCTTTGGTCTGCACACTTGCAATCCCGGCACTTTGGAGGGAGGGAAGGAGGATATCCACGAGTATGAGTCTGGTTCATATAATGAGACCTTGTCACAAAGACACTCACTCCCTAGGGAACCAAAAGAGAGCCGGGGAGCTGGAGGGATGGCTCAGTGGGCGACGTGCTTGCTGTGCAAGCATGGGGATGTTAGCCTGGATCCTCAGAACTTAGGGAAAGTTGGGAGCAGCAGCATGAGTCTGGAATCCTAGGCTATGGGGACATAGGAGGTGAAGACAGGAGAGTCCCAGGAAGTTGTGGGTCAGCTAGTCCAGCATATACAGTAGTGAACAAGGGATTCTGTCTCACTAGGCAGTGCTGGCACACGCCTATAATCCCAGCACTTGAGAGTAAGAGGCAGGCGGATCTCTGTGAGTTCAAGGCCAGCCTGGTCTACAGAGTGAGGGTGAGTTCCAGTACAGCAAGAGCTGTTTACACAGAGAAACCCTGTTTCAAAAAATCAGAGAGAATCCGGGCGTTGGTGGCGCATGCCTTTAATCCCAGAACTTGGGAAGCAGAGGCAGGTGGATCTCTGTGAGTTCGAGGCCAGCCTGGTCTACAGAGCGAGTTCCAGGACAGCCTCCAAAGCCACAGAGAAACCCTGTCTCGAAACAAAACAAAACAAAACAAAAAACCAAAAAAAAAAAATCGGGGAGAGAGAGAGAGATTGAGAGATTGAGAGAGAGAGAGAGAGAGAGAGAGAGAGAGAGAGAGAGAGAGAGAGAGAGAGAGAGATTGAGAGAGAGAGAGAGAGAGTCCAGTTTGAGGTGTTTTACCCATCTGCTCAGTCCCAGGACTCTGGGCAAAGGCGTGTGGACTCCAGTGTTTGTCTACACAAACCTCTCAGCTCACATGGCCCGTTGCCCATGGGGTATTGGGTGGATTAAGACACGTCTTACAAGTCGGAGAAAAGAATGTAAAGAAAAGAGGCCGTGATGAGATAAGAGGCCCTGTGGATGTGCTGCTCTGAACAGCACAGGTGTGGTGAGGAATGGCCCAAAGTGGCTGACTCCCCTCTGTGGCCCTGGCTTCAGCAGCACCCGAGCTGAGAGCCGGTAGGGAGCCACAGCATTCCTGTCATAAGTGGGATAGCACCGAGCCCTTAAACCCCTTCTTAATTGACCGCTGCAGGGAAGGCGCTCCACTGTCCCTCCTCCTCGCCCACCTGCTGTGGCCCTGCGGAGGAGTCCCTTCTAGCAGAGTTGACAGGAGATAAAGGCCAAACCCACACTCCAGAGCTCCTGGCTGGGGCTGAGGCTGGAGCTGCTTCGTATCCAGGGCTCTGCTGTTTAGAAAAACTTCAGGCGTGCTCAGGGCCCCTGTTCCTGGTACAGCCGGGGGATGATGTCAAATGGAGCTGGCAACAGCCCTGGAATTCTGATGCTGGGTCCCCCAGTCACTCTCTCTAGATACAGACAAGAGAAAGGAGCCATCTGTGCTGCCGGAAGGGAGCCAGGCGACTTGGGTTCCCACTGCCAATGTTGGGCAGTCTTGTGGGGGACACGAGGTGTTCAGGTGTGTAGATTACACGGGGGACAGGGTCTACGATCTCAAATGCAATGGCAGGGCTGGCACCGGATCTTGGCACAGGTGAAGAGCTCTCTCATCAGCCTTAGGGTCAGAGCTCACACTGGCCTTTGTAGATGGAGCAAGGGGAAATGTCCTTGCGGTGTATGGCATGGCCATGGAAAGCCAGCGTGTGTAGGCAGAAGACCGACCCTGAGAGGCAGCTCAGGTGGTGTCAGAAGCTTGCAGGCTCTGGGGAGCTAGGAAAGGTGTGGGTGGAAGGCAGTCATGTGATCAGATGCAGGTCTTGGAAAGGCACCTCTGGAGTTGCAGGGGAAGGACTCAGAAGCTTAGGGATCATTGGGGATGACAGCCATCCCAGTGACAGATAACACTAGCCCGGGGAAGGGCCCTGGTGGGAAGAGGGTGAATCAGAGACAGGAGTGAAGAGTGTGTTGACATCGGGACTGTCAGCATTGTATGACTTGGCCTAGGGTTAGCGTTATGGAAGGCCGAAGTGACGGGCAGCAGCTGGGTAGTAAATAATTGGTTTGACTTCAAACTTGCTGTGTAGCTGACTGTGACCCCGAACTATTGATTCTGCTGCTTCTAACTCCTGAGTGCTGGGATTTTGAGTATGTGTCCTTACACCTGGTTTATGTGGAATAGAACCTAGAGCAATTTACATGCTAGGTAAGCATTATACCAACTGAGCAACATCCCCAACCCTCTCTCAACCCGGTATAGGACTCTCCTGGCTGGCAGGCCAGAGCTACTCAGGAGGCTGAACAAACCCTGCCATTTAAGGAGAGAACACCTTGTCTCAGAAACCAGTTCCTGCTCCCCTCCGGTTCGACCCTTTGACCCTTTGAGCCATGCTTTCACAGACACAAGGCGTCTGGAGAGTTCCTCCTGCCCACGGATTCCACCTGACAGATGAAGAGCACGGAGCAGTATGAGCTGCAGCTCCCGTGTCAGCACAGAGCCTCTCTCAGCTCCTTGGGGACAGGCCGCCATCTCCAAGGCCCCTCTCTTCTCAAGCGGGTCCCCATGAAAGTGTCCCCAGGGGACAGATGTGCAGAAAATCAGGTGTCGTGGATAAGAGTCACTTATGGAGCCTGACCTAGGACACATTAGGAGGTCCCGACTGAGCTCTGCACTCCATTTGGTAGAGCACAGGTTTGGTAATAGACACATTATGATCCAACCCTTCCCCCTTTTCAGGCAAAGATCCCACTCATCATGCCTTGCTGGAATCCCTCCCATTGCAATCTATCACCCAGGCTGCACAGCCTGTCCTCCGGGGCCCCGTGCCGATCCTCCCGTCTTTCTGCCTCCCTCCATCTTCCCAGCCCTTCCTTCCCTCCAGCCAGCCTGCTCTGACACTCTTTCTTATTCCACAGAAGCCCCTCCTGGCATCAATACCATGGATGAACTGTGAGCTGTACAATAATCTCTCAGCAGGTACAATCTGTAGATGTCAACTGAGATGTCCTTTCCCCTGATAAGCCCATCGAAAGCCATCCTCTCTCTCTGACTCTCTTGTTTTTCTTCTCATGAATGGGTTAGGTCCTGAACAGGTCTCAGGGCTGTCTATCTCAGCCCTGTCTATCTCAGCCCTGTCGATTTCTTGGGTGTCTATTTTCATAGCTTCCATGGAATGTCAGAGTCTCGAAGGACTGGGGACCTGGGAGCTTATTTATTTATTGTCATGCTCTGGTGCCAGGCACAGAGCTGGCCCACAGGGGTTCCATGTGGCCTGGAATTAGCATGCAGGGAAAGTGTGTTTGAGTTACCAGCAGTTCAAACAATGGCTGACTGACTGATGGAACCGTTGGCTAGAGCAAGGCCTCACACCAACGAGCTGACGTCAACTCTCAGACTTGTTCCTAGAGAGAGCTCCTTCATCCTGATTACTTAACTTTGCTCATCTTAAAAATTTTAAAATGTAGGCCCAGTGGTGGTAGCACATGCTCTTAAGCCAGCACTTGGAAGGCAGAGGCAGGCAGATCTCTGAGTTCAAGGCCAGCCTGGTCTACAGAGTCAGTTCCAGGACAGCCAGGGCTGCACAGAGAAACCCTGGCTCAAAAGACCAAAAGAAATAAAAGAAAAGAAAAAGAAAATTGGCCATTTTTATGCATACAATTGTGTTGAACTCTCCAGAGTTCATTGTATTCCGTGGAACCAAAACTCTACCGTGAAGCAAGGCCTCCCTGATCCTACAACTCCCAGGGCCGGACATCTACCATTCTGTCTCATCTCTCTATGAATCTGAGCACTGTGGCTCCCACAGCTCCCATACATGCTAAGCAAGCTCTACCATGTGAGCTATGTCCCCAGCCTTTTTTTTTGAAATTACATTTCTCCTTTCTCTTTCATCCCTCCAAGCCCTCCCTTGTACTCCTCTTTGCTCTCTTCCAAATTCATTGCCTCTTTTTTCTTTAGCTGTTGATATATATGTTGACAAGTATATATATATGTAGATATGTAGATATTATGTATGTATATTTATAAATAACTATAAATACAGCCTGCTCAGTCCGCGTGTTACTTGTCTGTACAAGTTTTCAGAGCTGACCATTTGGTATGGATAGCCAATCAGTGTGCTCCTCCGTGGGGAAGGCTATTTCTCCAGCTCTCAGCGTTTCTTCATTGCCTGTAAGTCTCTGTTTAGGGCTGAGACCTCATGAACTTTCCCCTGTCCATGTTAACATGCGCGTTGGTTGTCTTCCTTTTTAGCCCATGCCTGGTAACCATGCTCCTGAGTCGTCCTGGGTGTAGCTCCTGACATTTTTAGGACACAGACTCTCACAGGAAACGTGTCGCTCCTCTGGCTCTTACAGTCTTTCTGACCCCTCTCCCACAATGATCCCTGAGCTGTAGGTGCAGGAGCTGTGTTGCAGATGTGCCAGTTGGGACTGGGCTCCATAATGCTGCGTTTTGATCCCTTGTGGTTCTCTGTAATGGTCTGTGTACATTGCAAAGAGAAGTTTCTTGATGATGGGTGAGGACCACACTCACCTGTGGTGTAGGTAGAGATCTCACGTACCCGCAGCACTGACCACGCCTGTTTAGGTATGTGGAGAGAGGCAGGGATAATGGCAAGGAAAGAGGGTGTCACGCTCTCTTGGGGCTGTGATCGTGGTCGGAGGTTAGAGAGTGCTGACCCTGGTTCTTGGCTTCTCATGTAAGTGACTTCTCTCTCTCAAATAAACTATCCCACGAACCCCTCCTTCCCGGTATCCTTGGTGTGGCTCATTTTCCATCTTCATCTGATGTCAGAAATGTGTCTTCACCTGTGGGTATAAGGGTAAGGATGTAGAATGTAGTTAGGGATTATGCTGGCTTCTTTTTATTTTGAGATAGGGTCTCACTAAGTTGCCCAGGCTAGTCTTGGATACATTCACGTGAATTTATCAATTGTCCTGCCTCTGCCTCCCGAGCAAGGATTACAGGTCTATCCTCTAGGCTGACCAAGCTTGTCTGTTTGTGATTGGCTTATCTTAGCTACCATGATGTCCTTAAGGCTCAGCTACTCTGTAGCATGTGTCAGTGCCCTTCCTTCTAAGACAGAACAGTATTCCATTAGATGCTGTATTAGCTACTTGTAGTTGTGGGCAGCTATGTGACAAGAAGAAACTGAAGGGAGAAAGGGTTTGTTATGTCTTACAGTTTGAGGGGGCGTGACAGTGATAGGAGTGTAGACCTAGGTTATCGCACTTCATATTTTGCCAGAAGAGGAAGGGAGAAGGCAGGAAGTGGGTAACGCTACAAAACTACAAAGCCCTCCCCCAGTGACCCATTTCCTCCAATGAGATTCTGCCTCCTAAAGATTCCACAGTCTTTCAAAACAGCAACACCATCTAGGGACCAATGTTCAAATACATGAGCCTGTGGGAGACATTCACATTCAAACCACACAGGATGCACGTACACATTTTGCTTTGTTTTCCTTTTTGGTGCTGGGACCTCTTGCACACACTCTGCATTGAGCCACAGTCTCTGCCTCACTATGCCTTGCTTGGTCACTTACCTATTGTGGATGCACAGGTCGCTTTCCAACTTTTGTCTGTCCCAACTGGGCAGCTGTGAACATGGGTGTACACATATTTCTTCAAATAACTGGCTTCAGTCTTTTTGAATATTACCCAGAACTCTATTTATAGTTACTTGTTTATTGATTTATTATTTGGGGAGGGGTTTCGAGACAGGGTTCTCTGTGGCTTTGGAGGCTGCCCTGGAACTAGTTCTTGTAGACCAGGCTGGTCTTAAACTCACAGGGATCTGCCTCTGCCTCCCGAGTGCTGGGATTAAAGGTGTGCGCCACCAATGCTGGGCTATTATTTTATTTTTTAAAATAAAATTGACAAAATTGTTTTTTGAGAGTCAAGCATGCTGCGTAGGTCAGGCTGGACCCATGCTCTATCTCTTCTTTCTTTCTTTCTTTCCTTCTTTCCTTCTTTCTACCTACCTACCTATTGATTTATTTTTGTGTGTGTGCACATGTGTGTGACTGTGTTCTTTGGTGTGGAGCTAGGATGTCTTTTCTCTTTTACTCCCCAGCTTACATTGTGAGACAGGGTCTGTTACTGAATCTGGAGCTCTTTGTTTTAGCTGTCAGCAAACCCTCAGGATTCACCTGACTCCACCTTCCAGTGCTGGGGTTGCAGATGTGTGCCACCACACCCAGCTTCTATTTTTATTTATTTTAAAGTTCTCTCTATTTACTGATCGTAATGCATATTCTACTTGGAACTATGAGAAGCCATGCTTATTTTCCGATGTTCAGTTTTCCAAGGAATTACCATGCTGTTTCTCACAGCAACTTCCATGTTGTAATCCTACCCGCAATGCACCAGGATCTCCAGATGCACCAGGACCTTCTTGCCAACACTTGGGTATTTTTGCCTGCAGCCATCCTTTTGGGAGTGACAGGATTTCTTTTTGTGGTTGGATTTGTATTTCTCCAAGGATCAGTGATGAGAGGGCCATGAACAGAGGAGGACAATGTCATGGGGTGCGCTGTGGAGAGACACAAACTGTGAGGACCCTGCGTTCTCTGCCTCAGTCCCTCTTCCCTGAGAGAGGCCACTTGGGGGGGAGAAAGACCCTCTGGCAGGGCTGTAAATAGCTCTGGAATCTGCCCCAACAGGCCGGTCTGTGCACAGACCAGCGCAGGCAGCTGCCTCTGTTCCTTCTCACAGATTTACAGCTGCCCGAAGGACAGCTCTGATGGCCAGAGTGCACCCTGAAAGGTCCTTTGAAGCCAGCGAGCACTTTTAAGTGCAATCAGCTCCAGATAACAGATAGCCCCAGCTCCCTGCTCCAGGCCCAGGAATGCCTCCTGTCTCCAAGCCCAAGCTTGGAATCAGCCCCCGACTGTCCTGGGAGTGGCTCCTGGGCCTGTAGAGTCTCTGTTTGCTTTGTGGTGACTATCGGTTCGTTTGTACCTTTCTTCTGTGCAAACAAGAGGTTGAGGAGGATTCTAGAAGAAATGCTGTCATCGTAGTTACAGAACAACCTGAGGGCTGGCAAGGGAGGGAAAGGAATGAGACAAAGGGCAGAAAAGTCAGAAGCAGGAGGGGAAGGAAGCGTATGACCAGGCGAGGATGTAAAGAATGAGCTCAGGTTTCCCCAAAGCTTGGGGTGATATGAAGCTGGCAAGGCAGGAAGTCCAGGAGCTCTCAGGACACCACGGTGGGTGAGGGACAGGAGGAGCCAGGACAGTGCTGCGTGCTCGGCCAGCACCCTCACGGGCACGCTTCCGGTACCAGTGGGCTCCCGTCTTGCTCACGGGCATGCTTCCGGTACCAGCGGGCTCCCGTCTTCCTCACGGGCATGCTTCCGGTACCACCGGGCTCCTGCCTTACTGTTGCCACAAGTCTGCCCACGTTAGGTGTCTCGTGCGACTGTGCTCAGACATCTTCACCTCTGTGACAGCTGTCTTCACCTGGCCCTGTGTGCTCGAGGCTTGTCCATACGGAGCATGGGTCAGATTCCCCGGCTCTCCCTGAGGCTGAGTGATAGCCCACTGTGTGGAACCGCAGGTGTTTCTCCCACGGAAGGAGTGTTCAGCTGAGGGCTTGTCTAATTCCACTAACAGGGTGAGGATGTCTTAGTGTCTGAGAGGCCCTGGAATAGGGTCCTTGCTGTTCCTTGTCTCCCTGACTTCCCGTACCCTGTTGTACTCTTTATACTGGCCACATTTACTGCTTCTGAAGAAAGGACTTACCTGTGATCCTTCTTTGATAAGCTTCTCAAAAATGAAAAACAAACAAACAAAAACTGTTAAGAACAACAGATCTCGTAGTTAAAAAACAACAAAAACCCCCAACTTTTTAAGGGTGGGGAAGTTCTGGTTACCTCATTTGGTTCTGCCACTGACTGTAATTTCTGACTCCATTTTGGGGGTGAGGAAGCTGGGGATAGGAGGCAGACAGGAGGAGACGATGGAGTGGGGGGGGGATGGGAAGATGGGGAGACTGTGCTGCGTTGCCCCGTAAGAGGATACAGCCAGGGGAAGCAGTTCTGCTCAGAGGCAGCATGGCTTGTCCCTTCATTCCATTTGAGCCTGGAAGGTACTGTTTGTCTCCTTATTCTCTGTGCTGGGCCGGAACTCAACCCAAGAAAAGGCAGCTCAGGCCAGGGGCAGCTGTTCCCAGTCCTGAGATTTACCAGCTCCCTGAAGTGGGCTCAACTTGCAGGGACCAGTCAGTCATGGACGGGCCTAGGGTAAGCCGGTCTAGCCTCAGGCACACAGTGTGATATCCAAGCTGCCTATTGTTCCGCAGTGTCTCTCGGTGAAGCTTTCTGGAAGGGGTCTCTGGCTCTGCACAGCTGCCCTGATTCTTCCCATTTGGCCCTCCTACCTCAGCAAGACTTCAGCAACAAGCTTGAGGATGGGGCAGGTGTACCAGGAGAGGGGAGTGAATGAGGGTAAGACTTTGTAAGTGGGGTCTGCCTCCCTGGAGTTTGAAGACTTAGCCCTTTGTCTGCCCACCACCACCACCATGAGGGGTAACAATGTCAGTTTGGACGCTGTGTCTCCTGTAAAGCAACGGTAATAGGTGTGCTACAGGACAGGACCAATGGGTCAGATGAACAGAAAAGCAGCCAGAAGGAAAAAAAAAAAAACAGAAGAAACTTCTTGATGGGGGATGGTATCTTCCCTTCAAAGGAATGGTGGTAGAAACTGGCTGGTGTCTGGGAGGAGATGATTGACACCTTAATAGGTGCTCTTGGCAAAGAGAGAGAGAGTCAAAGATAGAAGCTAGTGGCCCCCAGAGGAGGGTGAGGGCTGTGAGCAGGCCACTTGCATGTATCGCGGGTTGTATGTGTTGTGATGCATTTTTATGTGTAGTGTATGTGGTGTGTGAAATGTTGCATACTTGTTGTGTGTTGTGTGCGGTATATGTTATAGTCTGTTGTGCTGTCTGTTGCAATGAGAGTACTGCATATGTGCCGTGTTATATTGTGTGGGTGTGATGTTGGTATGTGGGTGTGGTGTGTATTGTGTACTGAAGCATTTATATTGTGTGTATTGTACATGATATTGAGTATGTGTGTGGTGAGTATGTCTTATACAGTGTGTGTGATGTTGGATATGCATGTCTGCTGTCTATTGAGTGTGTTGTATATGATATGGGGTTTGCATCGTGTTTTTATTGTATGTGTTGTACATGATGCTGAGTATGTATGTATTGTCTATTATTTGTGTTATGTGTGATGTTGGGTATACGGATGTGTGTTATATGTGTTGTGGTATACATGTTGTGTGAGTTATGGAGGCTCCTCAGCTGTTCTTTCCCTTTTGGGGTGGCCTCTGACTGGAGTTGCCCTTCAAGTAGCTGTTCCTGAGTGCAATGGTCAGGTCAGGTGGCCTGTGCCCGCCATCTGGTGGCCCAGAGTGGTACAGTGAATGGGCCAGTTTTCCCTGTCTTAGCTGTGTGTGTGTGTGTGTGTGTGTGTGTGTGTGTCTGCTCCTGTACCAAGGGGCTGAATTTCTCTTTGAGTTTCCTCGACTCTGAATTAAGTGGGGACAGTTGACTCTAAAGCGCACATTTTTAGATGGCTTAAGGTTGACACAGATGAGGAGGGGACCTGGAAGCCGATGGGCCCCTTGCACATGGCAGAATCAGTGTGACACCAGTGTGACACCCATTGACAATCTGATGGCCCTTACATAATGTTCTCTCCAGAATCCCAGGACAATTTCTGTCTGTCAGAACTTGGGAGCCATGGCAGAGTGACAGTTGGGGGTGGGTGGGGGTCAGTATGACAGCTTACTTCTTTTTCTAGTAAGGATTTAATAAAGACACACAGGAGTTATTTGAAATTAATAAGATTCACATTGTGTGTTTTTACAAATCACCAATCTGTGACTATACAGGTGTCCTGTGGAGAGCTGGCCCCAGCCCAGAAGATGCTATTACATGGCTGCCACCCTCATTCACATGTGCACTGGGCTAGGCCACTCACACTGAACATCTTCTGAGTGCTCAGACTAAGGCCACTGCTGTGCTCTATGCTGGGGAAAAAGTGGATTAGAAAAAACAAAACAAAACAAAAAAAGAAAACAAAAAACCCTCAAGCTTCCACTCCCCACCCCCAGGGGCTAAGATTGCTTCAGGACAAATGTTCCCCAAAAGCTGTCACCGCCAGTGTCCTGCCCCTCAGTTGGGGAGCGGGCATGCTGCCAGCTCAAGACCCCAGCAGGTCTGAGATGTTGATAAAACAGGTCTGGGCTGGAGTCGGGAATGGGCTTTCTGTTTCTTTAATAAAAAAAAAATGTGTGAATGCGTTCATGGACATGGCATGACTCACGTCACAGGTCAACTACTTTCGGGAATCAGGTCTTTTCCACCATGTGGGTCCTGAACTTGGGTCTTCAGGCTTGGCAGCAGGTGCCTTTAGCCACTGAGCCAACCCACCAGCCCGGAATGAGATTTCTATAAAGCTAACGGGAGACAGCTTTTCTCAGTCATGGCTGGGACAAGAGAGTGGAGGCAGTGCAGCAGAAGGAGGGGTGATGGGTGGTAATCTCACAGTTTAGAGCCCAGAGCAGCACTCAGAAGCTGGGCAACTCTGATGGTTGGCCTAAGTTGGGAGGCTGGGCTGTGCCTGCACTGACTGTTGTCAGTGTTATGGGCGGAAGCTTTCTGGCACTAAGTGGGCTGTACGTGGTGTTAAATAGTAAGAAGCCTCTTCTTTAAAAGGCTTGTTTTTGGCTTATGTTCATGAGTGTGTGCCTGTGTGCCTGCGCGTATGTGTGTACTTTACATGATTTCATGCCCACAGAGTCCAGAAGAGGGTATTGGATCCCCCAGAATTGCAGTTATAGAAGACTCTGTGTGATCATCTGGGTGTTGGGGACTGAGCCTCCACAAGATCAGTCAGCGCTCTTAAGTGCTGAGTCATCTCTCTAGTCCCCAAATAGCAAGAATTCTTAAAGACTTTATTATGATGTGGTTCCTCCCTCCCCACTCCAGAAGTCCTACTATGAGTACCTGGCTTGCCTGAAGCACAGTAGCTATGTATTCTCCAGGGGTTGATGCACGGATTATTTCGACCATTTAACCAAGAAGACCGACAGATGGCAACATTTCCAGAAAGACTCACTCCAGTAAACAGAAAAGCCATCTATGGCCACATTAGTATACACAAGTTCTGGAGTCATCCGCTCAAGATGACAGATAATACTGATTCACAACCATTAATTCAAAATGTAATTAAAAGAGAAAGATAAAAACAGAGAACAGATAGGGAAGATGTTAATTTGATAGCCGATTCATGTTAGGCCTTGGTGTAAGAATAACTCAGCAGGTTTTGTGTGAGAAGTTACTCCTCAGGTATTTGGGCGTTTGATTTTCCGGGTGAGTGGTGTTGGCTCCAGCATGGACTTCTTCCCATCAGAATTGGGTGCAAAGAGGACAAACTGGGCTTCCTGTAGTGTCACACACCTGTCATCCAGCAGTTGGCAGACTTGAGACCAACCTGGGCTATACAGAGAGACTTTGTCTCAAAAGCAAAAGGCTCTCCCTCCCTCAGCAACAAACAACAACAAAACAAAACAAAACAAAACCCCACAGTGGTTTGACTTCAAATTCAAACGCTCCCCCTTTGTATTTAGCCTGCACAATGGCCCAAAAGGATGAGATTTGCATGTTCATTTATTTATAGGGTATCACCATGTAGCCAGGCTGGCCTTGAAGCTGGCCTTACCCCTCAGTCACTGAGTGCTGGGATTGTAGATCTATGGTACCATGCCCAGCTTTCAGATTTTAAACACTTTTGTTTTGTTTTGTTTTGTTTTGTTTTTTTGAAGACAGGGTCTGTCTATGTAGCCCAGGATGACCTGGAACTTGTTCTTTAGACCAGGCTTGCCTCAAGTTCCTGGAGTTCTGCGTGTCTTTGCCTCTGCCTCCTGAGTGATGGGATTAAAGGTTAAAGGTGTGTGCTACCAAGCTTGGCTTCATCTTTTTGTTGTTGTTGTTTTGTTTGTTTGTTTGTTTTTTTGAGACAGGGTTTCTTTGTGTAGGTCTGACTATCCTGAAACTCACTCTGCAGCCCAGGCTGGCCTCAAACTCACAGAGATCCTCCTGTCTCTGTGTTCTGAGTGCTGGGATTAAAGGCGTGTGCTGCTACCACCCGGCTGTAAATGGTTCTTTTAAAAAATTATTTTTATGTGTGTATGTGTGTTTTGCCTACATGTATGTCTGTGCAGCATATACATGCAGTACCCATGAAGGCTGGAAGAGGGTATCATATGCCCTGGGACTAGAGTTACAGATTGCTGTGCATGGCTGTGTGGTTGCTGGGAATTGAGTTCAGGTCCTCTCTAAACTTCTGAGCCATCTCTCCAGACCCTACAACCGGTTCTAGAAGATGTGGAAAACCTTATTCTCTTTATATCTATGTAGGAGGCGTGGATGCAGTGTATCTGTGCTATTACAATTTCCTGAGGGAGGAGAAAGCAGGAAAATAAACTGTCCACACAGGCCCCTTAGGAGTTACGGATAGCACAGAGCCGAAACATGTCGGCAGGCACAGAGCCTTTCATGCAATGCGACTGGTTGGGACGGAATGGGCTGCAGGTCCTGAGGCT